GCTATTTTAAGCTACTTAATCAGACCACCATGGATTTCCACTGTTTTGCTGTCTTGAAAGATGACACCATATATCCTTTTGTTACTATTTTCTTTGGCTTCATTCTTGGAAATGGAATCTCTTTGTCAAAGTAGACTGACCCTTTCAAGGCTCTTACTGCACATAGCCTGCTTTCCAGGGTGCTGGCACCAATAAGAGGAGATGCCTTATAGAACTTTGTTGTCTTTGCGTATTATGCTTAATTTTGTTGTTGCTCATGAATAGCCTTATGTTAAAGGAAGGTCAAGGTCAAGTCCCATGTTAGCTTGCATTGTCTCTGTTATGTACATGGTACAATCGAGATAGAGAAGAATAAGATGAATTTGTCAAAGGTTGGAAAATTAAGAATGTGAGTTTGAAAGATGCTAATAAAGGAAGTTGGATACACAGCTCTGCATATATGGGGTTTGTAAGATGTGGTCTCATTTAAGAGACAATGAAATGATATAAAATGACCAAATTGTAGGGGAAGTTACAAAATACTTGAAGAAGAATGTAGGACTTTATTTTTTTTTTAAATAAAAGACATCAGTTATAAATATTTTAATTGAAAACTTAAAAGTGCTAAGGGAACAGTGCTTCTTAGGATAGCCTAATATGTTTGACTATTAAAATATTTTTGATAGATGTCTTACACCATCAAAATACTTTATCCTGTTGTGCACAGAAACCTTTCTTTAAGATGCTTATGCATATTGATGACTGTCTTTCAGTTATTCAACATGAAATTCAAAGGCTTCCATTTGAGCCTGTCCATATTTAGTAGAATTGAATTTTCATCTGTGTATATATGGGGAGAGGGGGGATTAGGCTTAACTATTTGGAAGAAAACTAATAAATTTGGTCTCAAGAACTTGGTGGTGATAATATTTCTAGATGAAAAAAGATTTTTATAATAATAAGGAGTGTTCATTTATTTTAAGCTTCAAGTGGTCAAAAAAACCCCTAAGATTGTAACAGATTAACTATGAGAGAGAGTTTGAATGCATTACTCAGGGTTTCACTGAGCCACACTGCCTCTCAGTTCCTTGAGCTGTGTCTAATGAGGAACAATGAGGACTTAATTCCGATTTTTCAGAGGTTTGATTGGAGATACCAAGACACTGACTGGAAATGCCAGTACTGTTCACCACACACGAATGATGAGTTTTACAATAAATACCTACTACAAATTGTGCCTTCAGAAGAAGAAACTATCTTTCATCAAGAAGAAACATTAAATCTCTTTTCTCTGCTTCTTGATGCTGATAGAGAGAAAGCTAGAAATACTACCTCATGGAATAAAGTCCATCAGGAAAAAGCAATCAGACATGTCATGCATGACTATGAGATGTGTACGTAGTCAACTCTAGTTATCATTAATTGAATAAATACCATGACATTTTGCACCTTGAAGGAGTTTGTCGTAGAGTTACATCCTCATTTTGATACACTGAAAGTTATTCATTCCCATTTTATTTTTATTTTTTTTTAAAAGAACATCAATTTTTTTAAAGATTTTATTTATTTATTTGTCAGAGAGAGAGAGAGGGAGAGAGAGCAAGCACAGGCAGACAGAATGGCAGGCAGAGACAGAGGGAGAAGCAGGCTCCCTGATGAGCAAGGAGCCCGATGTGGGACTCGATCCCAGGACACCGGGATCATGACCTGAGCCGAAGGCAGCTGCTTAACCAACTGAGCCACCCAGGCGTCCCTATTCATTCCCATTTTAAATAAAGGTCCATAATATATTACTTCAGCTCCATTCATTTTACGGCTAAGAAATAACATTGCTATGATGTTAAATTCCTGGTGAAAAGGCTTTTTAAAAGCTCTAATATAATGGTGCATTACCAGTAATTTGTAGTTTAATCACATGCAATACTTCATTTGTATACTTTAGTTTGCATGAGTTAAACTGCAAATTGCCCTTTAGCTCTAGAGTAATAGATAATTCTCTATAAAATCAACCTGGAAAAATCTTACTAGTTTTTGTTGTTGTTGTTTTCCCCTTTTACACAAACTTCAAATGGTTATTTTGCATTCATTTAAAATATTTTCAGGAAATCATGAAGGGGCTATTACTTTCAACTCTTAGGTTCTAAAGTCTGAAAAAAAATTTAAACAAGATATTTTTGAAAAGCTGTTATGGAGAATGCACTTTGCATAATATGTATCAGAACAAAAAATACTTTTGGTCTGAATCACATTTACATTATTGATTAGGACAAGCTCCTTTGACTATTCTTTTCTAATGAGATAGATGTATTTTTCCTAAATATGTCCTGCTATGAAAAACAAATAAGCCAGCGCAATGAAGAAATGCAAATGAAATTTCAAAAATAATGTTTGAACAGCTCTTGTAGCTATAACACTTTAAACTGAGAAGTTCCAAAACTAAAAAAACAAAACAAAACAAAACAAAACAAAAAAACCCCTGAGATTCTCATTTCTACCTCTTTTCCCAAAATGCTCTCAAATTTTAAAAACTTTTTTAAAGTAACATGAATCTTTTTTGTCAACTTGAACCAAAGCATTAATTTGATTTTTAAAGACCTTCCTCATGTTCTAAATTTGAATTTCTGATTCTATTAACCAAACTCTTTCTTGTTGTTTTATAATTTAAACATTTATGACTGCATATCTTATTCAGTGACACTTCGACCCATCCCTAAAATACAGTGATTCCTAAACAGCTCTATTAAAATTTCATTCATTCATACATTGATTAATTTATTTATTCAACCAAATGCTTCCCAATTCCAGGCACCATTCTAGGCACTAAGAATTAAGTATTTAAAAACCAACATCTCTATCAATATGGAGCTCACATTCTCACCCTGTTTAGTATGTTGAAATCTCAAAGCAGTTTTCTTCTTAAAGAAGAAGTTAGTGTAAAGCAAATTCACCTTCTGCTCGTGAATCAAAAAGTTCAGATTTCCAGACCACTTTATGTCTAAATGAACAGTTAGAGATGATTAGCAACAATTACAAGAAATAGATCTGTAGACTTATCAGCAAGCAAAGCATTTTATCTACTAGAATTCACCAGACTATGGAGTTTCAGTACATTCCAAGAGCCTTACTTAGCATTGATGCAATTACCATTTGTATTTAAGCTGATATCCCCATTTCACCCACTACATTAAAAAAAAAAAAAAAAGTAACATCTAAGTATTGGTTGAAAACGTTAGGAGGTTTTAAAAAAATTCCTGGAGAATTGTTATCTTTTACAGTGGCCTGCCAGCACTCACTAACGTTATAAGACTATGCAGTGGAATAAGAAGTGTGCTGTGAGCATGCGACACATGAAACACGTTTAGTTTCTCCACTGGAAAGTGGCCTTTTCGCTGTAAAGTGCGAGTTTACTTTGTTCCTGTAGTGTTCTGATTTTCAAATGTCATATTTGCACTTGCGGATTGTTTGTTGTATCATATTTTACATTTTAATTTTAGTGGAAAACATCTCCATTGATCTTTCGGATGATGTCATGCAGGGTTTTGTTCTTCATTGTGAGGCTGGAGGGCCTCTGGCCTGCTGTGTGCTTTGGAAGCAGAGAGACCAAATCACGTCTCTGCAAGGATGTGAATAGGCTGTTTGATGCCTGTGGCTTGCTGGGAAAATCTATAAACTTGGGAGTCAAAAGGTTCATGGAGGGATGGTTTCTTGATCTATAAAAGAGGCATGAAATATTTGCTCCTCCTACATCAGCGTTCTATTGTTAAGGATTGAGTAAGACAATGATACCATTTTGCAAAAATTGTACACAGTTCTGGAAGTGGTAACTGGTATTATTCCAATTTTCTGTTAGTGTCTGCTCACCAATATCAGTATAATCTGTGTACATGTATTTGAGAAAAGGATGCGACGCATCAGGATTTGAGCTATACACTTAAAGGACTCCTTTGTTTTCAACATGCCATTTGCTTATTTGGGAGCTCGAAGGAAACGATGAGATTCCCTTAATTACTGGTCACCCATATTAAACAACAGACGCTGTGGAGTAGCTTTCCGATAACAGAATGCATAATGAACCCAGTAGAGATAGAAAACCCACTGGGCTTCAGAAGTAATACATCAGACATGACAGAGACGCTTTAACAAGAGTCATTAATTACAACTTCTTCTAAACCTGGGACAAACATTTTAGCACTTCCTCTGGGGATGAACCCATGCCCAAGCCATTCATTGAGTTCTGTGGCATGCAGTGATGAGTGTGGGAAATTAACAAGAACATGGAGCTCTTTCCAGTAATAATACAAAATGATTAAGAGGACCTAAAAAAATCAATTGACTAATCAATAGTGTGTAACTGCTTAGAGCATTTTCCCCATGCTAATCAGCCATTAAGTTGTTTAAACTAAATGTGTCCAGTTTCCCCAATTACTGAGCTGATTTACAAGATGTGGTCAAGGATCAGAGTCTACTGGAGCCAGATTCCAGAGCACTTGTCACTGAGAAAGATGGAAGGAATTTATAGATGACCGTCTCTCACTATGGATTCTAATGGCTCTTGAGAGACACAATATGACAGGAGCCGTCCTCCTAGTCTGCAGACATTGGTGAATTAATATGGTCTGCCCAAGTTCTACACACGTGCATTTGTTTGACATGTGGCTGTGAACCTGATTGAATTCAAGAGTGATGGAGTTCAAAATAATGAAAGAAAACATCTATATGCTATTTATGTTCAGGCCATTAAAATGTTTTTTAAACTTCAGCCATGGTGAGAAGCATTCGGCAAACAAGACTCTGAATTCCAAACAACAAAAGGTATTCATTCTAACAAGACCTGTGAAGTGACATATTATTACCTACCTGTATAATGCCGGCAATTCTAGCATCAAAAGCACATGTAACTTTTGTTTTGTTTTGTTTTGTTTTTAAGTTGAATGCCACTGTGGGGGAAAAAACAGCACTAAGAAAATAACTTTAAACAGGAGCGAAAACTTTTTTATTGATATGTTTTACTTTGCTGGCAGACCAGAGCAAAGGTTTTGTGAACATTTAAAAGATGAAAAAGGTGAAGAATCCCAGAAGCGGTTTATCTTGAAGCGAGATAACTCTAGTATTGATAAAGAAGACAATCAGGTTGGTTCTCAAGTTTGAGAGTGGCTGACATTGTTGTTTTTGAAGGTGGGCTGACTTATGTTCTTGTCGTTCTGTTGTCCCCTTCTCCTTCCCCCAGCTCCCCCCGGCTTCTGATACTGACTGTCCTCTTTCCAACCTCCTTGCCCCCTCGCCTTCCCCTTTGGCATTCAGCGGGTAGCCAAGAGAACGTGTCCTGATGCTTCAGCCATGGCTCTGTGTTGGGCTGCATGGGTAGTGCTTGGCGCAGTTCCTGCTGCATGTGTTGGGCGGGTTGGGATGCCACCGGCCGGAGCTGTCGGGAAAAGCTTTGTCATCGCATTTCCAGATGTCTGTGTAACTATGGCAGTCCTTCCACTCCTACAGCTTTGTCCTTCAGTTGTGCACAAATTGAGCTGGATTCTCAATACGGACCGATGACCAACTGGTGTAGCTGTAAAGAACAAACCTTGTTATGGTGAGGACAGGTGGATTTTGCAACTCTCCTAAAATAAGTCTTCACAGAAAAGAATCGAGTTCATGTTGTAGTCTTCCCCCTCCTCCTTCCCATGTTCTACTGTCCATGTAAACTGTGTGCTTGTTTTGCATGAACTGTAGTGGAACTTTCTCCTTTTTGTGTATTATGCTTGTGACAAAACATTTACGTTGTCCTAGAGTAGCCTTATTCATGGTTCCTGGGCAAGGGTAGAGAGACCCTGCTCAACCTCTTCTCCAGATTGGGGGCGGGGAGCGGGATCCAGGGTGATGAGGAAGAAAACTTAATGAATGGCAAAAGAAACAAAGGTTCAACAATAATTAGAACAGCAGGGAGTTATACAATGCCATTACAATTACACTTTGTGTCTCTGACAATCAAAATAGATTTTTTGAAAATAGACTTTGCTTTAGAATTCTTAAAGGTAAGACAATAGGCATCTCGCTCAAGTTATTATTTTAATGACTCTCAGTGAGTCACTGGAAGCCAGTACGTGCATCTCCGATGTACTTTTTTCTTTAAAACCTGTTCATCATCTGTATCTCGTTTCTTCCTACCCCCACTGCCACCACCATTAAGCGACAAGTAGCTCCCATTGACTTCGAGCCAAATGCCTGTGTTGTGTACTTAGTGGACGTTTGTTGAATGGATGGATGAACGTGGTTAATGCAGAGAATTTTGTGAGGAACGGCAAGAAGACGGTGGGAGGGTCATTGAGATGCAGGCAGCGGTGCAGATGCGAGGCTAAAGAACAGTCCTCATGCTGGGTTCTTTGGATTGTTACTTTAGGTCCCTTGGCATTGACCCGACTCAACCAACAGGCTTTTCAAACTTAGTTTCTACTTTCCATGCAAAAACGTAGAGCACAGGATCAAGTCAGTCATGGAGTAAAGAAGAAACACAAATTAGGACGTGGAGACGTCATGTCCACCGTTTCCTTTCTGCCCATTATTTTCTCTGTTCCCTTGTTCTGTGTCTCTAGTGCCCAGGTTTTCATAGCCATGTCTTCCCTTAGCCACTTTGAATTAGCCACTTCCTCAACATTCTGCCTTTGTCTAAGGACTCCAAAGCACACGGGTTAGCAAAGGAGACAGAGTCCATCACTGTGACCCACGTCATAGCTTTGAACTGGCGGAACACCTGAGGCACATCCAGGTGCTTTCGTTCTGGAAACAGCTGTACTGCCGGCATCCAGTGGGGAAGGTAGAGGGAGCAGCACATACGTGCCATTGCATGTCAGACACAGACACCGCACACCACACACACCCGCACAGCCTCCTTAGGGACCAGAGGGAATGAGACTCTTCATGCTCCATTTATTTAAGTGAACATTTATTATTCTCAGCTGACAGTTGCTTAACTGCAGATTTCCAACAGCTCAACTTGGATAACCGTACTGATTTCTTTTTTCTGTTCAGCAAAACAGAATGCATCCATTTAGAGATGACAGACGAAGTAAATCAATTGAAGAGAGAGAAGAGGAATATCAGAGAGTGAGGGAGAGAATATTTGCACACGATGTGAGTAGTTGTTTTAATTGCCTCTTTAGTGCCGTCCTTCCCCAGACAGCAAGCTGGCAGGACTCAGGAAGCTGGAGCCAGGGACAAATCAAACTGAGCACACCAGAGGTGTTTCTGGAAGAGGACCTGGTTCAGGGAAGTGATGGAAAAGGGGCCAAGGGTTGTGTGCCTTCCTAGGATATGACCTCAGGGGGAATAGAGGTGTGATCCATCAGGGCCCAGTAAAACAGACCCTAAGTCCTCAGCAAGGTCGCCTGATTTGAAAAAAATGCTTTCATATCCATATTAGCCCGCAGACAGCCAAGTGTTGTCTTTGTAACACTAACGTTGTGCTTCTAAGAAAGACACATAAAGAAGAAAGAGACTCTGTTAATCACATACATAAACATGGAATTTTCTGCATTCTTAGCAAGCACAAGCATTTTATTATATCAAAGTTAAATGATAATACTCATCTTCCCCCTCAGCTTCAGATCAAATTAGGTCTGTGAGCAGTTTATCACAAGGAGATAATCATGAAATGATTTCTTTTGTTCAAATCCCAGCGAAGAAAATGTGGTAGGGGATTTTTCTGTCCTCTTACCCACTGTGTCCAAAATAAAATGCTATTAAACTAAATAAGAATGAAAAAGTGATTTAAAACAGCTGAATTTAAATGCAAGAAAGTGAAAAGGGCAAGCCAGTGCACAGCTTCTCCATTCCATGAAATCATTTGGCAGCCTTCCCTTTGCAAAAGTAGAGGTGGGAGCTCCTTTGTGCAGTTCTTCTGTGGCTTTGCTGGGTTAGGTGGGCCGTCCTACCTCCCATCGTGATTTGGTCTGGAGGCCATTTCCAGGCCAGACTAGAGACCTAGACTCCACTGCTTAGCATGGACAAGGCCTTCTGACCTTGGAGGTTTCAGGCCCAAGACAGTTTCCCAGGTCCCCCAGCTCCTGCTGGATCCTTCAGTATAAAGCTGCAGAGGAAATTAAAATTCCACCAACAGTGCATTTCTTTCATGTTGATACAGGTTTCTGTTATCTCTTCTAGATTCTCGTTGCCTTTCTTGGATACAATGAAATAGAACTTTAATGATTGAAGGATCTGGCTCAGAGCTCTGGAGTTGGCAGAGTCTGAGAGAGGAAGCTGTTGAAGGATACTGTCCACATGCAGTTCTAGAAAATTCTATGGATGTGTGGGCTACTTAGGCTTTTCTTATGGTCAGAGTTATTGGTGGTGCAAAGCATAGTCTGACACCTGGTAGGCTTTAATTGTGTTTCCTGGATAAAAGGATGAAGTAAAGAGAGGCTCTGTTGTACCATGATAGCTTAGGGGTGTCCTGAGTGGACTGGGAGACCGCATGTTACTGTCTGATGAGCTTCATGGGAGAGAGAGTTTTCTGAAGGTCAGTTTATTTGTTATGCTTTTTCTTTCTTTCTCTCTTCCCATCTATCCCTCCCCCTGCCTTACACACACACACACACACACACACACACACACACACAATTTCCCTCTGATTTTCATTCTGGCAAGTTATAAAATATATAAATGAGTTGTGTTGAAAAGCAAATACTAATCACTTAGATAATAGACAAATATTATGCTTCCTCCCCTCCACCCCCCACCCCTGCAAAGCAGGGCCACATTTTCAGACACTCAAGGACTAGATGGCAGGAAAAGCATCCCTGATGCTTGCCTGTGAGGAGGAGGCTTCCTGTGCTGCTCCCGCCCTTCATGTGCACAGAGAGGTCATCCCAGACAAGGAGGAGTCAGCATGACTCCCTGTACACATAGCATTTCCTGACAGCCCTATTAAGGAGAGCAACAGCAAGGAACCTGGGTCCCAGAATAAAGATTAGAGGCAAGTTGCTGTTTCAAGCATCCATAGCTAACTGCTGAATTAACATTTTTTAAGACAGTGAAAGCAGACGAGGGGTGCCTGGGTGGCTCAGTTGGTTAAGCGTTTGGCTCTTGATCTCAACGCAGGTCTTGATCTCAGGGCCCTGAATTTGAGCCCTTAATGCAGTTCCATGCTGGGTGTGGAGCTTACTTAAAAAAAAAAAAAAAAAGAAAAGAAAAAGCTGGCTGAAGCATGGGAAAGCTTAAATGCCAAGCTATTATCATGGCCTTTCCAATTGATGGCATCATTTGGCAACCTTCTTCGGAAGGCTGTGGCTTCTTCCCCCTGAAGGAGTAGAATAGTGTGAGCTGCTGTGATGAGCTCTTTGGTGGCCAATACTTCTGGGGTTATTAATTCAAGTGAGACACCTGCCTGTTTCTGGCCCTACTTTCCCCCCTGATCTCCTGGGGCTGGGTTTTTTTAATTGGCATCCTGTACCCAGAGTACACTCATCGAAAGTCTTCAGAGATTAAACAAATTCCTCAACATCATCTACAAAATATTATGTACATGAGTGTAGGTACATTTTTTAAGGTAAAGATCTTGATTTTTTATCATAGTTTTACAAGTTTTTGTTGCTTTTACAAGGCTAAAAGCCACCTTCTCAGAGGGGAAAAAAGATGTCCAGTCCAAAGCACTACGGCTCTGCAGGAACAATGCAGTCATTAGGCTGGTGTTCCCTGGGTTTTGTTATATTAATAATTCCGGATCTCCAGATTTGACAACTTAAAACAGATACACAAAATGCTTGTTACCTCACAGTTTCTGGGGATCAGGAAGCAGAGGGTGGCTTAGCTGGCCAGTTCTGGCTCACAGTCTTTCCTGAGGTTACGGTCAAGCCATCAGCTGGGGCTTCGGTTGTCTGAAGTTTCAGTAGAGCGGTTGTCTGCTTCCAAACTCACCTGCATGGGTTTTGGCAGGCCTCGGTTCCTAGCGGGCTATGGGAGAGCTCAGTTCCCACTATGTGGGCCTCTCTCGAGGCTCCTAAGCATCTTTGTCACCTGGCAACTAGCTTTCCCAGAGCAAGTGACCCAAGAGAAAGGAAGAGAGCCCAAGATGGAAGCTACAGCCTTTTTTAACCTCATCTTGGAGCTGACATACCTTCCCTCCCGCTGTGTTCGTTTGGACACACAGAGTACACTGGGGAGGTACTACAAAACACCTTGGTTGTGGATACTGAGAGGGAGGAATCATTGGGGGCCATGATGTGTTAGCAGGATATTACTGAATCTTCTGTTAATGCAAATGCAGGGACATAACATAGCCATGTGAACTTCCTTGAGTACATAGAGCAGCACACCTTGCTTTCCACTCACATAAAGAGAAAACACTTTAGGGATTCTTCATCTGTACAATTCCAGATTCCCAAATGACCAATAGGACTTCCCACATTGTTGAGGTACATACAGTAAGAAATCAAGTATAGTAAGTCAATTATAAAACTGATGCAAAGAATCCAGCATAAGGAAACTAAGTTACAGGCATCTAAGGTCTTTTTTAGCTGGCCTTTAATTTAGTGTCTTCGTAATTTAAAAACCGAGGAAGCTTCCCTTGCCAATTATTATTTAAGGAGTGAAGTCATTCAAAAAGGTTCAAATAGTGACATATTTATGTAGAGGGTTTTTTTATTATTATTATACTTGAAGTTACAATAGTTAAAGAGAAATAATTCCCAGTACTTACATATCAGCAAAATCAAAATTTATTTTAAAATTAGTGGTGCTCTTGGATATTTTACTCACATATCTTGGTGTCTAAGGTATGTGTGTGTGTGCGTGTGCATGTGTGGTTTTTTACTTAGGTCCACAATCAAAATATGCAGATTTTTGGGGGATTTTCTAGAAAAATAATCTCAATACAGTAGCCTGAGATAAGGCACATTTATTATTTGAGAATGAAGTTGTCATTAAGTCAAGGCACACAACAATTTAGTTCTCAAATAAAAAATGAGTGTATTTTTGTAGTCAGAAATATTTGAACTATAACTTGTTTCCTTTAGCAAGAATTTCGGCTTATTTTATGATTAATTCAATGCAATGTTGCTGGCTTTGGCAAGGTTACGTTGCTCAAGCAATATATTTGAGAAAGATATGTTTTGCCTGGAGGATGGTTTCTGAAAGATCTTTATGTGTAAATAGGGATTCTGGGGGGAGTTCATCCGTGGTCTCCCCAGCATGCACTGGGATCCATCTTCCGTGACAACCCTTGAGAGGGGCATGTGATGTCACCTGGATTGGGGGTGGGGTGTGGGAGAGAATCCTGTAACCCATTAGGCAAAACCATTTTCTCCTTAAAAGAAAGAAAAAAAAAAGTCCTTTATATCTGAGAATGCATATACCTGACAGCTTTGAATACTGCACTTAATTACTGTGACACTTTTATCTTTCACTGCTATTAAATTTTGCAAGTTATATTAATAACTTCTTTAAAGTTTATTTTCATCAACTACTGAATCATAACCCATAACCATATCTGCCTTATTTATGAAACTGTGTTGGAAGGATCATGAGATAAATCTTTAGGACCTTTGCACAAAAATTGAAAAATACTCTTGAGATATGTTTTTGGGAAAGTTATCTTTGACTTGCAGGTCCCTTATTTTTCATTCAGAGAGTTATGGCAGCTTAGCTTTCCCCAAAATACTGTTGGATTAATGAGTCTGAAGAGGTCAGTCTTTGATCAACTCTTCCAAACAAGTAGTAGAGTTTCAGTAATTCCACAACCCAGCCAGAACATTATAAGCATAATTTACTTCTTTCCACCTACAAGAGCTGAGCAGTAACAAAGTATCAAGCTCATAACATACACCTGAGACAATTAATTCCATGGCTTGACTCAAACTAAGAGTAAAACCAAACTAAAGGAAATAAAGATAGTGGGATATTTCACTTACTATAAAGATGTCTTCACAGGAATAATATCAGTGGTACATAAAGTGTATTTATTTTTAAATACAAATGTCAAAAGAAGATACTTCCTGTAAAGGGTGTTTCTTAATTGGCTTTTTGTTGTTACTGTTGTTAAATAAGATGTTTGTCCACTTAATACTCAGGATGCATATTAAACGCACAAAGGTTAAAATAGAAATGGTTCTAGAGATGCCCTCTGAAACGTTCAGATCACTGAGGAAAACACATTATGCCCAAAGCTAACCCTTTGGTTTAGTGGAAGGAAATGATTTCTCCAACAAAATGTATGGAGAAACCAATATCCTGCTTGCCTCTCTGGGTAATGGTTACATTAGCTAATCTTTTAAAAATTCAATATTGAAAGGTCCTTATTTACTTTGGTTTTATTTTCTCTTAAAATGGACCTGTTAGGTCTCAATTTACCATTTAGCAGGTCATTTATTCATCATTTACAAAATCTACACATATAATATGGCATGTATATTTATGGTTAGAAACTCAGTACTTTGAAAATGGTTTTTGTTAATTCCCAAACACAGTCACTATGTTAGAGGGCCATCTCACCATATTTTGTTTAGATATCTCTTTTTCTCCTTGTTAAAACTTAATTTGATTTGCCTTTCCCCAGCTTGTAATAGTAATGGAATTTTCTCTTCCCTACATGTGTTCTAAACACAGGATAGTGGGAAATTAATAGCTAGGGGAATGGAAGCTAAGAAGAGTCATTGTTTTTATGTGTGAAAAACAAAACAAAACATTAGATAGGTTTTACTTTTTTTTCTGATTAGCTTCATTTTGTTCTCACTTGACTTCTGTGTGCCCGCCCTCTGCAAATTGATTGATGGCATCTCTTTAATTTTAAGAGTCTTGCAGTCAATCTGTTTATGTAAAGAGAGTCTATCATTGCCAGGTAATAACTGTAGGGTTGTGGTTCTATGACTCTCCCGTCCTTACGTGGATCATGCTAAGAGCACATGCTCTGCCTTGATTTGAACCAGTCCTCTGGCTGTTATTGGGAACTGTATCTCTGCAGCTCCAGAAGAAACAGCTAGCTCAGGATCCGATGGTCACACACTTCTCTGATTCTCAGACAGTTTCATTCACGTCTCTCTCCTTCTGACCTTGATGCTGAACGGGCTAAATCTAGCCGTAACCTGGAGATGTCCTGCTGGAAAAGTACTTGTGTGCTGAAAGAGAAAGAGAATGGTGTACACGTCTAACTCTAACCATTTTTTTTCCCTTTTTATTTCCATTTTTCAAAACATAGTGAATTTTTTTCTTAATTCTTTTCCTCTTGGAGGGGAAAAGTAGTTTTAAAAGCAGGCAAGGATTTGGGATCCCTCAGCACATCCAGAACATCTGATACAATGCCTTTTTTTTATTTTTCAGTCAGTTTGCTCCCAGGAAAGCCTTTTTGTGGATAACAGGTAAAATGCAATTTGCTTTTTCATGTCTGTAGAGGAACAAAGTCTGTCATGTGTGTCCTGTATACTCATAGGTATATATCCCATATATAAGTGTGTGCTTGAATATATGTATAAATAAATACATATATCTATGTGCACACACTTATATGCATACACATATGTGTTATTTAGCATGCCTAAAAACTATTTAATTTGGGGAAATACTTCTCTGTTACTTCCAAACATAATTTTTGTACATTTTCCTTATTAAAACTCTTGACTTCTGGCCCATCCAGAGGTCTAATTCCTGCTACCTTTACCAGGCATTACAAAGCATAAATGAACTTGCAATTTCATTGGCTTATGGATGAGGCTGTTCATAGTATTTGTATATTGGGTATCATTAGCCACTTCTTGTGCCCCACAATTTTATATAGCTATGCAAACAATAATTGGAATAATGTTGTTTTAAGTTTCTCACTCTAAACAACCCATTAGTCTAACTTGGAGATCTATCTAAACTGATCTAAATTTACTAACTTGGGAGTTAGTAGGGGGGTAGTTGTTGTGTGATGAATGGGTTATACAACTTATACAAAGTCTTGAGCGTATGAGCCAAAGGTTTTCAAATTTAACATATACCTTAAAGAAATAGTCCTAAACTGACATAGATATTCAAATGCTCCCTTGATTTAATTGCAGCTTTTCAAGAGTAATTAAAGAATTCTACATTAGCTGTATTAATCACATTTAAGGTGCATCAGAGTGGGCAAGTTGGAATGGAAATATGGTATCCCTTCAGAAAGTGGTGCTTAACCTTATTTCAGGTGTCAGCTTAATGGGTGCCCCTGTAAAACTGATTAAAATGGAGGCTGTTTGATTAAATTCCAGTACTTAAAGAAAATTTTAACCAGGCATTAGAGATGATTGGGGGGAAAAAAAGCTATCTTTAATATTAGCAGTTAGAAATCTTTGAGTAGCTAACCCTCTCACTGAACAGCCTGTTCTAGAAGAACAGATGGAAGTAGAAAATGTGTCTAAAGAAGACATTCAAAAACATCCTCAAAAATCCACACCAATTTAAGTGAATATTCCCTATTTACAGTTTAAGAATCCATGAGCACTAACATCCTAGGGATAATGCTGAAGCATTCCAAAGATCTATATTCTAACTAAAAAGATGAAGTGAGTGTTTATAATTCAGTTTAGTAGGAAGCCTTATTCCCTAGTCATCCAGTCAATAATTTTCCCCTGCCTTATGCCCAAATTTTATTCATTTACTTGGATTTTGCATAAAAAGACTGCTAATGCACTTTAAGTGTCCCTTAGATTCAAATTGAATTATATTCATATTTACCATAGTTGGTGATAAACATGCATTGCATATATGAACAAGTCTTGATATTTCCAAAAAGCAAAAATCTAACTGAATCTATTCCCATTAAAAATAAATACATTTCTTGGATACCTGTTTCTGGAATGTCAGTATTTCATTCTGCCCCTCCCTACAAAAGAGATAACTTTAATATTGCCCAAAGGAAAGAAAATCACAGCTAATATATTTAATTAATTGTCTATTAAATGATTTATCTTCTTCTCCTCTTCCCTTCTTTCTATTTCCTCTTGCTTTCCTTTTTATCTAGTATCAGTGCCTTAATCCTAGGATAGGGGAAAAATAATGCTGTCATTCATTTATTATTGCAAAATGCAACATCACGGACATAAAACATAGTACACGGGGTTGATTTGCAAGAGCGGGACTGTTGCAGAAGAGTACACATCCATTTAGCATAGGGCATTTAATGTCATTAGGTTTTATATCATAAAAACCATGTTTTTCATTTCCAGTAGGCTCTTGGAAGACAGTAACATATGCAATGAGACCTATAAGAAAAGACAGCTCTTTCGGTTGGTATGGTTTACTTTTTTAAAACTATGTTTTCAGATTACGTGGCAGAATCAATGTTAAATATAAGTGTACTAGTGTAAAATATCTGTTCATGAAATAAATATGTTTGGTTATATCTGTAAAGCTGGTTACAGAGTTGGTGCTGAAGCCATGTTAGATAATGTGAGATATGGGACCAGGGAATTACTGCTTGGTACATAATCCTTTCAGGTTCCTCCTCTGATTTTCTGTTTTGGGTAGGTTTTTTTGCTTTTATTTTTGTTTTCTCCTCAAAGATTAACTTTGACAGCATACCGATTTAACATTCCCAAGTCAACTCTGGTGAATTACATCAAGTTAAAATTCCTCTAATAGTTTGCAATTATATATACATGACTGATATTGGAAAAGACACCAATGATAACTGTATTTGAGTAGTTGATTTTTTTAGCCACTACTGGCCATCATAATACTTCAATTATGTTTTTCAAGCATAGATTTTATTTCAAAGGGAAAGTACAGGCCCCTATAGGCCAATTGCTTCCAATTATAATGAATTACTTAAATCAAGATCTGTGTAAGATAAGGGGAACAGATATATATGTGTTTATTATATATTAATATTGTATATGTTAAGTTCCATACTAAGCTGGAAGATCCTTGAAAGCAGAGGGACCATAACCATGTCACTACCCTATTAAATATACCTCTAATATTCATTATAGGGCAAAAAGGATACACAGCACTATAAAGGTACTTAATATGTAATGGATATATTTAATATGTTATTGCTTTTATGAATATTAGGATTCATCTCTGTTGTAGGAGAGAGAAAACTTACTCATTTACAAACAAACAAAACATTTTGCCCACCTAGAATTAAGAAAAGACCAAGGAAAGTAAATGGATTGTTGCTCATAAAGTATCTTTTTGTAGTAAATGTGAACTTAAGACTTCATAATTAGAACAGTTGGATTAATTTATTCCCTTTACACTTTGGCAGAACTAAAAAGGTTTTTTTAAAAATGTCTTTCACTTTTCTAGGTTGAACTACATAGTCTAATGCTTTCCCCTTGTATCGATAGACCATTTATTATCACACTTTACATTAAAAAAAGTAACTCTGCATTGTCCCCTTGAAAATTGAGAAAAGAACAAGAAGAATTTACCAGTACTCATGTACTCACACCATAATCTGGTTTGTTTAAGCCAATAAATGTATGAAATGTGGGTTCTTCCCCTTTAGGCCAATCGGTTTTACATAGCCCCAAATCTGGTCCCTAGCCAGAGCTAGGATCTGCTCAGATCAGTCACTCCAAATATGAGTGCCATCACCCACCAAGTCATCAGGCACAGAAACTCAGGAAGATGACTTAGCACAAAGGACATCCATACAATACTTAAAGCAACTCAAAGTATACATCATATATAACTTGGCCAAAAAAAAAAAAAAAAGTGCAGACATGAAGGAAAATAAATGTTGTTAGTTATATTAATCAGCACCGAAACAGACCCTAAAGTATGTGCTTTATGACTATTCTGGAATCAAATTCTCATTATATACACAAGGACCAACTCCTCTTGATGACCAGACACCTCATTTCCATTGCCTTCCTGGATTCCAGTAGGAAGGGACCAAGACTGGGCTTAGGATGGATAGGAAGGCACTTGTGGTTATGTTTGTCTATGAGGTCTATGATTCACCACCCAAATAGATAAAAAATTCGATTCTGGACCTCACTTTGCCAGTGCTAAGGCAATTAATCACTAGCTAGAGTTATAAAATATTGTTTCAGTGTATAAATAGAGATCCATAAATCAGTATTAGATGCATTATTATGAATCTCATTAATGCTAAGACTAAAGCAGCGACTTAAGTTCCCTCTTTTGGGGATTTTGACAGCTCTTGACTTTGGGATGTTGATTTGAAATGGTAGAGAGTAGAGGTAGAAGAAGTTAAGGAAACCTTAGATTACCTTATTGGCCAAGGGTGTAGCACAAGTCTAGAGGAGTTACCCAATGCCAGAGTGAAGCCTGCAAACTCCAAGACACTAGTTTGCACCCAGGAAAAGTGGCGGACACTCCTTTGCAGATGGGCTCAGCCACACTGGCCTTTCCTTTCATGGAGGTGCTAGGGAGAGGGAAACCCAAGCAGAGCTCATGATCATCACCCGCATATGGAGAGCTTCCTTCTGAGGCATCTTATATATCGAGGTTAAGGACTACCCTAAATTTTTTCCTATATGCAGTATTCCAGATTAGTTCCAAGTGAGACTATTGTCACATCCCTGGTGCATTCACAGTTGCTAAATAATGATTTTGCCAGGCTTTGGCAAAGACAGGTCAAATTAATCAGAATTAAATGTGAATAAAGTTGAATTTGGAACTTGAAAGGAAAACAATCAGGAATGGAGCAGGAGCACCCTCAAAGAAGCTGGTTTTTTCCCATCCACCCCATTTCCTCTGGCTTTCTTGAATTTCAAAGGGTTTTAAGAACTCAAGCTACCTGACCATCGGTGAGTGTGTGATACTTTCTACTCACAATCTGATCTTTTTTTAGATCCTCCTTCTAATCCTAGCCATCCTTGAGGTGCTAACAGAGAGAATGTAAAAAACAAAAAACAAATAAACAAACAAACAAATAAAAAAAACATTGATGCAAGACAGCAGGGCGCTGAGTGCCTTTTGTTTTGTGAGTTTTCTGTCCTCCCTTCATTTTTACAAAGTTCCTATCACAGAGGAGCCATTTCATTTTTATTATCTCTTGAATCTGTTTAGCTTCTCAAGTTCTCATAGAACAAAAGAGAAATTTATTAGGTAAAATGGAAACAAACGCAAAAAATTTTGTGTGCCTTCTGCACAATTTGGTTGGTGAGTTTCAATCAGATGCATACACTCCTCACATCTTTGCGGTCCTATCATTGTCTTTAGAAGAATATCTATTAACAAAGCCACTGACCACATCTGTGAGATTAGGATCAACACTTGAACATGTCATGTTGCTTTGTGATAATGAAATTAGGGGTTGTATCTATTGCCAACTATTTACGTCCCCTTTACTTACTGATAATCCATGAGAATCTTAGAGTATTTTAATCATGTCTTATTTCCAACTTGCAGGAAAAGCTTTGAAAATATTCACTAAGTTCCTCTTTAAGCAGATTGGAAACCAATGAAAATGCAAATTTCATCAACTTTCTTTATAAAACACATGTGATTTTGTGTCCTACTTAGAGATATTCTGGAGTCTTCAGAAATCACGTCTGCCTATTGGATCTCTTCCCATACATTCAGTTTTTCAATTTGGATTTAGAACCAACATGTTCTTTCACCTATGGAGTTTTGTTATTTCCATTGATCCCCTTGGAAAGTTTCATGTCAGTGTAGTGTTTACACTGGTATTGTTATTATCACAAGTTTTTCTATGTGAAAAGCACTAAAAGATGCTTTCCTCTGCCCATGAAGGTTAAACTCACCAGGCAAAACTCTTACCCTAGGTCAACAGAGTAATTTCTGTGATTTCTGTGCTGTCAAAACCTTAATGGATTCAGATAGACATCTCATCAAGTCAGAAAATAATAAATGGTTTCGCTGCCTCTTTGTGCATTTTCCCATGGTCCGTTATTTAATGCTAAAGGGACAGACAAAACCTGTCTTCAGTGGGAGTCACTTCAGAATCATTCAAGATCATAATGGTTCCCAAACCTCGATTCACTGTTGACTTGGGCTGGGAGAATCTATTCTCTTTTCTCCTCCACAAGAGAAGTTAACAACTGTATTTTATGCCATGTTTTTTCTACTTGTTTCTCCTTCACTGGCAGAGGGGTAGTGTGACATTTCTAGGTTTGGTTTTTCTGTTTGTAAACATGCGCATTATGTGTGGTATGTTATCCGTCTGCCCATCAACGAGCTATCTGTGACACTGTTTGTGAGGCAACAGGCTTAATGGAAAGGGTTGCAAGAAGGGTCTTGTGTAGACGGCTCTTCTGAGAAAGGTCCCATTCTGTGTCCACACCACTCGTGGAATGTAACACTGTCCCTGTGCATCTTTCCTATGGCTGTGCTCCAGGGGCAACAGGGATGGCTCGGGGAGAACATCCGGGAGTCGACAGAGCAGCTCAGAGAATGAGCTCAAGTGGTCGGACCACCAGAGGGCCTGGAGCAGCACAGACTCAGATAGCTCCAACCGCAATCTCAAGCCCACCATGACCAAGACGGCCAGTTTTGGGGGCATCACGGTGCTGACCCGGGGTGACAGCACATCCAGTACCAGGAGTACCGGGAAGCTGTCCAAAGCAGGTAGTTAGTACTGAATGGGTTTATGTCCTGTTGTGTTTCCTAGGTTCCACCCAACCCATACAGTCATTATTCCCTCTGGCTTCCAGTAAATTAATGATGATGATATTAATTGCTGGGATACCTGGGAAGTCAGAAGGTGCAATGAAAATATCAACTTTGTCTCTTCAAATTACCAACCTCTTGAATCTTCACTTTCCTTACCTGTTGTCAACCTAAAATTGACAGGAGGCAATAATTGAGCAAGAGCATTTATTCGGGATCAAAGCATTGTGATTCGGGATACACAGATATGGATAGCAACCCAAATAGTGTCCCACTTGGGAGCAAAAGTCAGGTATGAAGGAGGACACGTGTTGTGATGAGCACTGGGTTTTATACATAACTAATGAAGCGTTGAACACTATACCAAAAACGAATGATATACTATGCAGTGGCTAATTGAACATTAAAAGAAAAAAAAGTCATGGGTCTTTAAAGCAAAAAGGGTATGCTTGTATACATCGTTTACAAAGGATTTTTGATTGGTGTTGGTGGCACAATGCTGATCTTGATTGACTATAACTGGTTTCAAAGGCTATCACTAAGCCTTCTCTTAACTGTAGCAGGTTGCAGGTGTTTGAGCTGAGTCCTTGCCATATTTGCAGTTTGGCCCAGTTCAAAAGTTCATGGTTCTGCAGGTGAGGATGTGTCAAATACCCATCTCCTTAATGGTCTCCTGACTCCATTTGAAAACCTCTTGACATAAGTGACCCCATGTCATTTCAGCTTTCACACCATGAAACATAGGTTATAATAGAATATGATGCTACCCCCACACCCTCTAACTAACATAACTATTGTATGTTAAAGTTCAATTATTTATATATAAATGGTTACCAAGGCACCTGCACATGGTAACTAGTTAACAAACCTAGCTATTGTTTTTTGATTTATGACTTTGATCAGTTTCTTAAAACCACACTCTAAGGTAATTATAATGTTAATAGTTTGGGCTGCTACTTTGGTGTGCTGTTAATATGATTGTGGGCAAGTTATCTAACCTGTTTGCCAGTCTTGGTTTCCTCCTCTGAGAAATGGGAATATTGCAAGGTTATTTGAAGAATTAAAGAGTTAATACACACAAAGCAATTAGAATAATACCTGGCAGTTAAAAGCCCTCAATAAACACAAGTTCATGTTTCTTTTTATTACTGCCATTTAATGCTGCCATCCCTGCTTTGCAGATAAGGAAAGTAAGACTTAGGAAGGTGTAGAGTTCCAAATAGCCAGGTGTAGGCATCTCTTTTTTTAATCTTGTGTTTTCTTCTAAGTGAATAGTGATCTTTTGAGATAAGTAGTTCAGGTTTGCATGGATAGTCTTTGGGAGGTGAGAGCTAATGAGAACCATGACGTGGAAACAACTTTAGACTGATGGAGGCATCAATACCGGGGGTTCATATGAGTCCAAAAACTCTCCATCATGGTCTTGCATCCCTAGCTCCTCTGTCTCCAACTCCCTCACCCTTGTTTTTAAATTATTTTCAGATGTTCTCAATCAAAATATCCCTTAGAATCCCCGGAAGGTGGCAGATGACCATTCAGTAGTTCTCCATGAGCTTCATTTTGGGGTGATAGTTTGTAATGTTTCTGTTTGATTTAGATTTTGCCTCAGAAGTTTGGAGTTAGTGTGGGTGTTGAGAGCTGCGATTCAGTGACATGTCCTGGGTGTCAGACACACTGGGGGTGCATTCACAGACCTGGGGGTACAGGGCAGGGAGGGAGAGGGATGGCATATGGCCAACACCAACCAGAGAATAGACATGGGTTGTCCTTATTGTGAATACTTTCCTATCCAAGCTTCACACTCACGCGAGGGGGCACTCTTTGTGAAATCTAGACTCATTATGCTAATGGTTTAACGTAATTATGTTGTTGAAAATGCTCCTAAGAAATTATCTCGTGTTTTCCTACACAGGCAGAAAATTAATAGCATTTAGTCACAACCACTGCTACATATATACACACTTCCTGCTCCTTGGAAAGATTCAGGTGGGCTCACACTGCCTTCTGCCTTCTGTTGTATCACCAATTGGTGAATTCTTGATGTCTTACTCTAATTAATTGCTCTTCTATCCCACTATTGCAGCAACTGAAGTCAAGAAAACCCACTGTGGTGCACTTGAGCTCTTGTAAACTAAGAAAGGTTAAATAGTTTTAAATCTCCTTAAAATGCAGAAACCAAGGACCTTAATGGTGTACTTAAAAATTCCAGCACACCAAAAGAGCACTTAAGATTTTTAAATTAATCGTCATCCTCCATACACCAACCCCCCAATCACTTCCGAAGAAAAGCTCTTTGGAAACATTTAAAACACTTCAAGAATGCTAAAATGCCATGTTCTTTGAAGAATGATTAGAAATTGTAAGTGCTTCAGACATTTTTTTCCCCTTTTAATCTAAGTGTCTCCTTTTGAAAGCTTGTCAAGGTGCAGGAACGGAAAGGAAAAAAAAAAGAAAATTAAAGGCGATCAAGATAGAATGTCAAAACAAGCTTACAATTTCCCAAGATGGTTTTATGAAGCAAAGCTGTCAGTTTTGCTGTCATGGATCTTCAGAACAGCACAAGTTTTCAATTTTTTACCTCATTATTCGCAGTGGAATTGCAAACTTTTTTTTTTTTTTTTGACCTTTCAGAAACCAAGCCTGGAGTTGTGACATTTAAGTTACTCTTCTCCTCCTCTAATTACAAAGGTTTGAGCTTTAAATAGATAATGATGAGACTTTCTCCAGGTGGGAACATGCTTTCCTACATTTTGGAAGAAGCTTATTTCTGAAGTCTGAGCCTCTTCAGACTTGCTCTGAAGGCCTGGGCTGTCTTTCTCTTGACGTATCCCTGACACCGAGCTTAGGGATGGTCACCTACCAGATGTCCAACACACAGCTCCAGAGGCAGATGACATCATTTTGTCTTGACATTCTCCTCATGGAAGGACAGGAACAGTGCTTGTACCGTAACCTCTGCTGCTTCTTGGTGGTAGCTATGAGGTTGGGAAATGAGTATGACATCTATTTCTTTCCACCCTGGTCAAAGGACATTGCTTTACTGCCATCCTCTCTCTTGATCTCCAGAGCAGGGGTTCTCGACAGTAGCAGCATAGGAAGCAGCGTGTGTTGCTTGTTTTCAAACCATGCTTTGAGAACAACTGCTCTGGAGAAATAAGATATCCTTATGTTTTGTTTTAGTAATTTTACCTGGTGTGGTATTTTGTTTTCGGGATCCAAGCATGTTCTTGTTGTTGTCACCTTCTTGTCTACCTTCCATCCAGAGTGTTTTTGGAGCCAATGCAAGCCACCTCATCTCTCTACCACTTCCTCTTCTTGGTATTTATTTTCATTACAGCACTAATGCAGCCTGGATGTTCTCTCTCTCCTTGTAATTTCAGAAGTTTTAGGTCGTTCTATTGAATTTTCTGACCCCTGGATCTGGAAATATTTTGTTGAATTATTAATTCAGGGAAAAATATTTATGGTTCATGGTCCTTATAAAAGAAGAATTGCATCAGACAAGATAAACAGACAAGGAAGATTCTATTCATAACTATTGCAATAAGGGTCAAGACTATTATAATAGGGGAGAAAGACTGAACTCAACCCTGAGCTAAGGAACTGCAGGGGAGTTTAAAGGGCCTCGGTGAACTACTGGAAAAGCACTGGGGAAAAGTAGACAAGTGGTTGGTGAATCCAACTAAGTCGTCTTTGCTGATTGGTGCTTATCACAGTCAATCTTCTTTCTCCCCTCCCACGGAAACTGGCAGACAAGGGCACTAGTTCTCTTGATTATTACATTTCAAAGAGATACTCTTGAGTCCTCAACAAAGACATACCTGGGCTGTAAAAGAGTTACTAGGCTAATGAAAGGTTGACACCATAAAGGGGCAGAAATGCTCTAAGGAAAAGGAGGTAGAGGAATGATCCTCTGGAAGAAACCAGTCTAAAGGTTGTTCAAGTTGAGAGGAAGTTTAAGGCCACCATCCTCATAGCTACTCACCATTCTGGTGACTTATATTTTACAAAAGAGGATACTAAGGTCTAAAAAAGTAGTCATTTCAGGGGTGTCTGTGTGGTGCAGCCGATTAAGCATCTAGTTCTTGGTTTGGGTTCAGATCATGATCTCAGGGTCATGAGATTGAGCCCCACGTTGGGCTCTGGGCTCAACGCAGTCTGCTTGAGTTTCTCTCTCCCTCTGCTTCTCCTCTCCACAATCTCTCTCTCTCTCAAATAAATAAAGAAATCTAAAGAAGAAGAAGAAGAAGAAGAAGAAGAAGAAGAAGAAGAAGAAGAAGTAATCACTTCATGAAGTAAACACAGCTAGTCAGTGGCGTCTTCCCACACCCTTCCTCTCTGCTGTCAGTTTTCCATTTTACTTTGTCATACGATGTTTTATACAACATCCCCCCCCTCCATTTTTCTCTCTTCCTTTTTCCTGTCTCTCTCTCGAGTGTTCACCAAAGTCCCCCATCAGTCACCTTGATGTCTTGTCCCTACACCTTCCGCCGACTGCCCCTTAGGGTCCAGCTTCCACTTCTGAGCATCTCATTGTGGGCAGCATTGACTTCCTGTGCTGTATCTCTTAGAACCTAGGCACTGTCCTGCTTGGGGCCCAGGCTCTATGTATATGTCACTCGAGTGACTGGGAGTGAGGCATGGTCCACGTGGTCCTGAACGCAGACTCTGCCACACATGAATTATGCTCGGGAAATTTACTTAACATCTCTGAGGATCAGTTCTCATTTTCAAAATGAGGTTGCTGTGAAAATGAGACTAGGTAATTCACATAGTGATTAGCACAGCGCTTGTCATGTAGACATACTGTTTAAATATTTGCCATTGTTAGCATTCAAGTCCCTGAGAAAAGGAGACTGGACACACTTTAACTCTCAACACCCAAAGCAGTAAAGTTCTCAAATATCAATTTCATTTTTTTTTAAATTTTTGAACAGTTCTAATCCTTTATGTTGTCATTGCCCCGCCCTCTCATTGTTCCTGTTGAAGGTGCTGCTTTTCTCCTGTTTCTAGAAGAACACGATATTGCACATCAGTAACTAATAGCCATCTTCTGAAAGCCAAAAAGGAAGAGCACTCTGGATTTTCTTGTAGCACAGAAGCTGTGTGCACCCGTCCCCTCTCCTGACCCCCCTCCTCTTGCCAGCCCCAGCTACACCTCAGGTTCCTTAGGACATGTCTCCTTCGCCCCAACCCTTTCCTGCTGTCTTACCCTTCTGCCTGGAGGTGGGCTGAACCTATTTCGTATGAGCTTCAGTGTCTGGGGGCAGGAGGTTTTGTTACTGCTTATTACCCTTGCTGTTGTTCCCTCTGCAGTAGTGTCAAACTTGGACTGTAGCATGAGATCCCATGGGGTAAGTTCACAAACACACCCCATGGATTGCTCTGGGGCTGTGATGTCCCGGGCACCATGCCAGCGATGCCCTCTCAAAACTACTCTTGGCATTTTCAGATCTTTTAGGGTCTTTATTTTTCCCCATACATTACTCAGAATCCATCAGCATTCGAAACCAGTTAGATGGTGCATCCTGAATTAACCTATAACTTTATTATTATTAATAATCAAGTCGTGGGGGAAAGAAGAGAAGATTCCCAAATGACTGGTGGCAGTCCCTGACATATGCATACGCTTGCTTTTAGGAGGCAGTGTTGAGTCACAGGTAAAGCTAGATCAGTGTGCCTAGATCACACTCTGCTCTATCATTAGCTTTATGAGTCGACTTTAGGCATTGAACTTCTCTATCCTTCAACTTCCCTATCTACACAGCCAGTAATAGTACTTATTATTCCAGTGTGCCCAGGTGCTCACACATACTAAGTGCTCAATAAATATCACTGCCTTCCCTTTTGAAAACAATGTCCTCCTCCAAACTCTCTTTGATGGCCCTTCTTCCCCCCAATTACCTGCTGTATGCCTATCACTTATTTTTAGAGGTTTCCAGTTTAACTCAAGGGCACATTTTAAAATCTTGAAACAATGTTAACTCTTCCTTATATAAGGTTTCCCTTTAACCACCCAGAGGAATTCATCTTTAAGGACATAAATTGATAGTTGTGGGCTAATAAGTAATTTTTTAAATTCCCTGTACTATGTTCTCACAACCTATGATGTCATTCAAATCATCTGCTAGTTAGAATTCACTGATAAAGAAATGGGGCTTGGTGCATTTTGTCTCCAGTGTTCTGGTTAATATTCAGTGCTGGTCAAGGGAACTAGAGCTCCTTGGCTCTGGCTGTGGTGAAGGGCAGGTGGTGCCTAATGGATGTGGGATATCGCAGTGGAGGGGAAGGGAGATGTTTGGGATAGAGTCCACCTTGGAATCCAGTTACCTACACATTTGCAAAACACAGAGTCAACAAATCTCTCCATGATTTTACCCTTCTGTGCCATCTAAAGGATGATCCGGTGTTCTCATGAAGACCAAGCCGTTCTTGGCCTGCCCCTTGGGCATATTAGTAAGATTTCTGTCACTAAGTGACATACACACCTTAAGGACTCTCTGTAGGAGTGATCCAGTTCTTCTATTCACATCTAGAGGGGGAAAGATTATTTCTGGCCATCCCCCTTCAAAATGCAGCTTTATGGATGTTCCTTAGACCCAAGGGCATGATCAGCACATTCTAGGACTCCTTCTTAAACTGCCATCATTTTAATATCCACCTGGCATTTTTTCCTAACTCCAGTAAGACAGCCCTCTGGCTTTAATTACTCAGGGTGACAGGCGTCTCCCGGCATGGAGTCCACAGCTTTAGGGAACCCTTTATGGATGTGCTACCCTAGGGACTTGTGAGAGGATGAAAGAAAGTGCTCATTCTTACCTTCTCTTTTCCTAGGAAATCGACACATCTGAAAAACATGTAGCAGATATCTCAATAAAATGTGAGCCCCAAATGTTGCTCTAGTCCTGCGGCACTCACTGCATGCTTTAAGGATGGATTATGTAAACTAAGCATTTAGATCCGGAGCTGTCTGTGTTGGATGATTTTCTGATCCTTTTCTCTGTGTCAGGCTCCGAGTCTAACAGCAGCACAGGCTCCTCGGGGTCTCTGCCCCGCACCCACGCACCCCTGCAGAGTGCGCCCCTGGCTGCGGGCGTGGCCGCTGGCTCTCCCAGCTGTGTGCCCTATCCTGAGAGTGGAGCAGGGGGCCAGCCAGCCCCCAGCACCAGCTACATCCTCCTTCCCCTCGAAGCTGCGACAGGCATCCCGCCCGGAAGCATCCTTCTCAATCCGCACACAGGTTAGTTCCTTACCGCTGCTATGGCAGGGACTCAAGATCAGAGTAATGTTTTTGTGTTTGCGCTTATAAACTCGTCAGAAAGTTTTCTTAAAATTCCTGAGCAGAAGAGCTATGTGCATGAACCATTGGGTAGGGTCTTAGTTTAGGAAGAACAGATCTATAGTTGTAATCTTTTCTGTATAATGATATCAATATTGATATGTGGTTGTAAATACGGATTCTTCCCAGAAATGTCCACTTTTCCCTCTGTCCTTTTTGTGTTGACCATAGTGTGTCTCAGGTATACCTGGGAGCTAAGATTAGTAACCATAAAATGATGATCTGGGAAATACTGTGTTGTATTTGGCAGAATATTGCGTTTCACAGACTAAATATCAGGATAGCCTCTTATTATGTCAAAAGTGTTTTTGCATCCAAAATACTTCATGAACTTGAGATATCAGTTGGGACACATAGCAGAGTCTTACCTCTAGAAGTTGTGCTCTTGTGTTAGAACTTCACACAGTTCTACCCCTGGGGAATAAGGAATAGCAGTGAAAAATAGGACACAGGGAGCTAATTCTTATGTATGTTAGTGACCCTACAACTAGACTGGTTTTGGTGAGGTTTGGAAAATTGGTAACTTCATGATGATCATTTTTTTTTCCCCCATGATCAATGGTTATTTTTTAACTTCTCTAGTGGTCAGTGAATTTCCACACCGATTCCAAAAAACCCAGAGCATTGGGCAAATAGACTAACAAGCATGTGCCTCTTGGGGGAAACTTTTCCACCAGGGGCAATTATGCCCAAGCCTTCAAGGCCATTTCTCAGTATCTACCAACATTTTGATTATTATGACTGAGGGAGAAAGGGGCTGCTACTGGCATTTAAGAAGTTAGAGGTCAGAGATGCAGCTAAACATTTAACAATGTGTGGGACAGCCCCTTCCAACAGAGAATTATCCAGCCTAAAATATCAGTAGTGCCATGGCTGGGAAACCCTGGGTTAGAAAGCTTGACATTGACTAGTCGCCTCTTTGGAAGCCTTTATAAGTAATTGGAAAAAAAAAATTGAATTGTCTCTGAATATGTCTGAGTTTGGTTTCGATGATTCCAGAGTATTTCCGTGATTAGCTAAACTTAGAAAGGAAAAGTGAATGAGAATCTCATAAAAGCAATCAGACTCAATCTTTTCACGTATATAGCACTACTAGTAATTAGGAAATTCAGAGAAACATGAGAATGATAGTAAAATAGTTACTTGAATAATTGCCACATTTTCATGAAAACATATGGCACAATCTCAAGGCATGGTGTTTGATTGAGACATTTTGAAAATGCCATAAGCTTGAGGGAAAAGAGGGCATAATCATTTTATTGAAAACTATTTGAAAGCTTTCAGAATAGATACTTCTAAGGAGAATATCAGATTGCTTTTATTTTATTTGGATCATTGTAAGCACTAAAAGGAAATTAAAAGAAAACCAGGATTATAGTCATTACTCTGGGCACTGATCGAAGTATGGTCTGATGCTGTTGGCTTAAATCCCTTCATTTTTAATTGAGACGGAGAGCTTGCAGACAAGAGCACACACAGGCATTAGTTTTGAGTCATTTGTTTTAAGCAAAATTGCTGTGTTTCAAAAAAGCTCAACAGAGTATTTTTTAGGGTATAATGAAGAAATATTATTTGTAATGATATAATGGTTGTGCATGTGTTATGTGTATATTATCATGTGTAATCTCACTTGTAGAGAAAGAAAAAAAGTGCTTTCTGGTGCCAAGTCCCAATTCTTATTCATTGGATCCAGTCATTTAGAGCTTTTATCAAAATATCTCCTTTGAAAAAGGATCCGAACTGAGGGAATGGGTCTAATAACACTGTCGGGCAGCTTCTCTGTACCCACTTCTGTGATCTGACAAATGCCTGCCATTAAGATATCCCAAGACCAAAAGGAAAATATATTGATATATTTTATACCATGGTTGAGTGGTGGGATGGAAGGTGAATGATGTTTCTTCTTTCCTAGAATATGTTTATTTTTGTAAAATGAAAATACGCATGTGGGTGTATATGTGTACAGATCCCATCATGTATCATGTATACATATATGTGTATGTGTCTATCTATGGGGTGCATGTGTGCATGTCTGTCTATCTATCCATCCATCTATCTATCTAATCTCTTATGACTCTGCTGCTGAAACTAGAAATTTGTCACCTTTGGACTGGAACTCATCTTTCTCTATCATGGTTATGAACTCCTGAAATCCACATCTCCCCTTCCCTAAATATGTGGCAGAAATTCTTCGGTGTTAGGAACCAACAGCATATGACTACTCTCCTTCTTGTGTGAATAGCCCTTGGATTCATTTCCCTCTTACCAGCTCATTTATGAGTTCATTGTGGGAAGGAGCCATCCTTGGCTAATTTCACTCGAGTGGATAACAAAGTAGTCTTAGACACTGTGCTCAGTAATTACAGAGTACTGAAATAGTATCTACTACTCATTATATGTTGATGTGCATAATAGAACAGGGTTTTTGTTTTTGTTTTTGTTTTTGTTTTTTTAATCTAACATATTTGAGAATGTGGTCCAGGTCTGAAACTATGATAAAATACCTGCCTTTTAATTTTTTTTTAATTTGAGTATAATTGATACACAATATTACATTAGTTTTAGGTGTGCAATGTAGTGATTCAACTTCTCTGTGTGTTACGCTCTGCTCACCACAGTGTAGCTGCCATCTGTCACCATACAGCGCTAGTACAGTGTCATTGACTATATTCCCTTTGCTGTGTCTTTTATTCCCATGACTTATTCATTCTGTAGCTGGAAGCCTGTGCCTCCCATTCTTCTTCTCCCATTTTGCCCATCTCTTCATCCCCCTTCCCTCTGGCAATCACCAGTTTGTTCTCTGTATTTATAGGTCTGATTTTGTTTTTTTTTCTGTTTTTTCATAAAGTATCTGTCTTAAGCAGGCAGAAGACAAGCAATAAGTTGAGAACACCAAGGTGCCTGCCAGTCATGTCTATCTACCAAATGAAACAAAATGAAACTTCCTTTGTCAGCACAATTGACTTGGCTCTCCCTAAGCACCGAATGTTTGGTGTCCTGAAACCAACCCATCCACATATATTCCCCCAGTTCCCCAAATGCAATCACAACCTTTTACTTTGTCTAGCCTTAGACTCAGCTCTCAGTCAGTCTGTTTCTAACTCAGGACTTCTGGCCTATCCTTTCTTTGCTTTGCAGGCATCTGGAGGAGTGAGCCACTGCAGAGGGTTCAACGTTATCCCCGTATAATGTACTCATCCTCACAAGGCAAGCCTGGGTTTGACACTTGAGTTTGATCTTCTTCCTGCTGTCTTGGACTTGGTCTCCTTTTGGAAATTTTTAGCAGAAAGCTCATCTTTGTTTGGCTATTTTCTTTCAATTCAGAGCTATCCAGAGACGCCAGTAGGCATGAACATCCCCCAAATACTCATTAATCCCCCTATCTGTTGTTTTGCCATTTTGCTTTGCCTTCATCTGGTGCAAATTCACGAGTGTGTGATGTAAAGGCATGCCATCGGCTGGGACTTTGGTCTGAGCAGCTTTTTTAGGGCTCATCTCTTTCAAATGTTCCTGATGGGTTCTCCCAACACTGCACTTGGTATTTCCCACGGGCTTGCCAGCACCTATTTATCCAAACCGCTTCCACCTCCTTCTTAAATGTGCCATAAAGTTTTTGTGTGTGACGTATCTGTCAACGTGTCTTTGTGAGATCTGAATTAAAATTTGTCTGCCCATAATCAGCAGCGCCCTTATGATTTCACTGATCATCTTCTGAGCACAAGGAAAGGAAAACCTCTTTTTCTTCTTGCTCTATCTCTTTAAATAAATTCCCTTCTGCCAAGTTCATGGCAGAAATGTTTTGGTGTTAGAGACCAAGAGCATTTGATTACTTTGCTTTTAATTTGAATTACCCTTGGGTTCATTCCCTCATTACAGGCGTATTCATAAGCTCTTTGTGGGGAGGGATCAGACTCAGGTTTTTCGGTTTTGTTTTTGTTTTGCATCCTCAGAATGGATAACCAAGTCTTAGTCCTCTTGCAGGGCTCAGTAATTATATAATAGTGCAGAAATATCCACTGCATGAGATGCCTGGGTGGTACAGTACCTTAAGCATCCAACTCTTGGTTTCTGCTCAGGTTGTGATCTCAGGGTCCTAAGATCAAACCACACATTGAGCTCTGCCCTCAGCGGGGAGTCTACTTCAGACTCCCCCCTCCTTCTGCTCCTCCTGCTTGCTCTCTCTCTTTCAAACAAATAAAGCCTTTAGAAAATAATATCTACTGCACATTATTCATGCTGATGTGGAGAGTGGGGAAGTATTCCACCTAAACCCATGTAGTGAGGGGAATGAGCACTTGGCCAGTTCGTGGCAGCCCCGCTTGTCTGCACCCTTTACAGGTGCCAACACACATGCAGCGCCTGCTGGGCAGGCTCTCACAGTTCTGGACACAAAAACCTGTTCTAAGCTGGATGGTCCTAGGGGCCAACAGTCTTTCTTTCCCCTTCGGTCTTCAGCAGCTGTCATTCAAACTAATTGCCTGTATCCAGTTGTAATTGCATCTGGATTGGCAGAAATGGCAGCATCCAGAGAGGTCATTGTTGCCTGACTTGAAAACCAACAGTTGCCTGTCCTAACTCTCTTAGGAAGTGGTGTCTCTTCCCTTCCCTGGCGGCCATCTTACTTGTTTCATTCTCTCGCGTCTTTCCGCTTCTCATTTGTGAGCATAAAAGCAGTCTTCTCTTCTCTCTCTTCTCTTCCAGAAGAACCTGCCATCTCTTTCTACTCAAGGGAGTTCTGAGTACTTTTCATATGCAATTATTCGGAAACGTTTCTTTTGCCTTGTTCATAGCACATTAGTAATATTTCACACAGAGGATCTCAAATTTATCAAAAAGGACATCTGAATAATTTGTGGTTATGTTTTTTACCTTATTTATGGTTCGTTTTTCATGCTACCATACTTCTCACTGGGGTAAATTGGAAGTCATAGAAAATATAGTAAAGATCATTTTATTTTTTTCCATCTGTGTGTGTGTGTGTGTGTGTGTGTGTGTGTGTGAACACAGAATGAGACTGATTTTGAAATTATTTCTTATGAAGTTGCTGTGAAGATTTTTTTAAATGCTAGGTATCTAAAATTTTCCTCTTTTTGTAATACAAAAAAAAAAGGGGGGGAGCGGGGCTAAGAATTAGAACATTAAATGGGCTGATAGAGTTTTGGAAATTGAACCATTTCTTTTCATTCTTTCCCAAATTGAGGCTTTGGGGAGAAAAAAAAAATAGGTTGCAGATTTTAAATCCAGAAGAAAGTTATTTTGGGGAAAAAAGAAAAAAGTATTTAAAACAAATGTAGCTAAAATTAAATGACAGTGATAGGAAAACAAGTGCCTATGAAGAACATTAACATTTTTTTTAAATATCTCTAAATTTAGTCATTGTTCTGTGACTATAATTCTGGCACATTTGCTTTTTCCATCATGGCCCATTGTGATTGGTTATGAAACTGTTGTCAGAACTTCCTTAGTTCATGAATATGCAGCATTTAAGGCTTTCACGTTGCACACATACAAGTGTATTTGTGTATATAGGCACACTAAGCTCCCATTTCAGTTCCTGATGGGGCTGAAATCAAGTCCTGGGAGCCACAACCCCATTGTTTGCCTTCCAAACTGACTCTAAAATATTTTCTCACCCTATTTTGTAAAACCCACATGCCCAGCCTATAGCCTTGGCAGGTATTTGAATGTGTGAACACCTGTGCAAAAACTACCTGGAAGGAGACACAGGACATGACTAGTCTCCCGGGACTCTCCCTCTTGCCCCCCTGAGTGGTCCCACTCCTCTGACTTCCATTACCATTAAGTTCTGCCTGACCTTGAACATATTAGAAATGCAGTTGCACATTTCCCTAATAGCCCCCTTTGGGGACTGGTTTCTTTCACTCGTTGTATATTAGCTAATTATCCCCCGTTTTATAGCAGTCTTCTTGTTGGATAGCACATATTTCTTTCCCACTAGAACGCTGTTTCACTTGGGTCAGTTTTTTTTTTTTTTTTTTTATTTTCACTCTCTGACCTGTTTGTTCTGTTTTGTTGCTAATTTTCCTCACATCACTGATGGTCTTCTGTTATTTTTCATATATATTATTAATGAAAAGGGCTGCGTTCCTCAGCCATCCCATGCTGCCTATGCTGGATAACAGTGTTCTTGCGACCCCCAAATACCCAAACTATGTAAGGGGAGGCTTTCAACTATGTGCTTGAGAGGAATTTAGCAAGCCGCCTCTGACATCCCCTGAATGCGAATCAGAACATTCTGATTTTTTGTGTGCTTTACCTGCCAGGCCTGGGTGTGATTCCACCTTAAATCATGGCCCCCACCCCTCCTGATTTCTCACGTGTTAGTGATTTGTGATTATGATTGGATTTTTGTCATCGTCCCCTCATTTAGCATGCACACATTATGTAAATTTGGGTACTGCACTGAAGTTACTTGGTGTGATGGGAAATGAAGGGACTCATTCTGACCAGGGCCATTCCCTGACTCTCGCATGCTGCTTTGGCCTTTCTGAGTGAGTTGCTTGGTCCATGAGGGCCCTAATCCTTTTGTCTCTAAAGTGGAATGAGATTACTTGTTTGTGGGGTCATTGGAAGAGCAGAGAAAGTGTGTGTAAGGCTCCTGTCCCCCTGCTTGCCACACCGGACCTTGATTGGTTCTCCCTACTTTTCCCTCCTCTTTCCCTCTCTTCCCTCTGGCCTCCTTCTGCTCCTTTTTTCCTGTAACCTTTCTGGTGGGCCTTCATTGTCTCCCCTACAACACAGGAAGATGATACCGTCCTTCCTGCCAGTCATGCTGGGGATCCAATGATACCATTTTGCAAACCATAAAATACTCCTCAAATAATAGTAATAATAGTAGTGAGCCGTGCCATCATTTCAAAAGGCAAAACAATGTATATTTGCTTCACCATCAGGAGATGATGCTGTGAAGCTTTTATTATGCATCATCTTTAAAACCAGAACCCCTGCGTGCTCCTTGCCGTGTCTGTCTAGAGAAGCGAGGGTGTGGATGTGATCGGTTCTGTTGTGTATCTATCGGTTGAACTGATCACCATTCTGAGCTGATGACAAGGCTGGTGGAAGCAAAGCAAATGTATTGGTAAATAACGTGTAACCCAGTGTAGCCGGAATTCTGTAAAGGGGAAGCAGCCCTATCTCCCAGTGTATGCTAGCTTGCTGATAACAGTGAGGTGCGGGCAGCAAACACGCGGCTTCGCGAAGATTGCTTCTCCACAGGCTTCTCCACTGGTCGCCACTACACAGATGCGCTTGGCTTTAGCAAATCTCTCTGAAGGCAGTGGGTTTATTTGTTGCTTCTTAAACTGCTCTGGGCTCACACCGTTAGCTAGCTTAGCCGGATAGGTCATCAACGGGAAAGCCTTCATGACAGCGAAGGTTCTGGAGTCCTAGATCTCCACCACCCTGCCCCTTTACCTCAGGTTACTTGTTGCGTATCTATCAGTGTGGTTCTTTCTGCTAAAGCAGAGACTGAGAAGCTCACTTGAACCCAGCTGCGATTCCATTGCAGGCCAGCCCTTTGTGAATCCCGACGGAACCCCTGCAATATACAACCCCCCCACCAGCCAGCAGCCCCTGCGAGGGGCGATGATGGCGCCATCCCAGCAACCGCCGCCACAACAGCCTTCTCCTCAGCCCCAGCAGCAGGTGCAGCCACCGCAGCCCCATATCGCAGGCCCACTGGTCACTCAGGTAGGAGCTGGTGGGAAGGCGGGGAGGGGAGGTGTTCCAAGACAGGATCTGCAAAGTCCTCAGAACGGCAAGTGGCGCCTAAGAAAAAGGTGACATTTTTTCATTGGGGCCACTTCTACCCACTCATAAATAAGACCTGGCAGCCCCAGAGCCCTTGAGAGCAGGTTGGTAAGATTTCATCTGGATCCTTCAGTTTAGATAGACATGAAGACCCCACCCAGCAACTTGCGTGGTGAGCACACTGCTCTGGGGAAAATGAATGACAAGTTTTCTCTTAGGTCTAGATGCTATTCTTAGGCATCACGGAGCCTGTCTTGGAGACCGAACCCATAACCTCAGCGAGGCGTTCCTTTCATCTTGATCACTCATTCCCAACACAGACCGAGTGCTCCTGTCCACAAAGGGGTAGTACTGAATGCTTTATCAATCGGACGGACAGAATTCAGTTCCTTCCGAGGTGGCCTGCCTCTTCTTCAAGAGATGTAGAATGAGCTTCCCTTCCTAGAGCAACACACGGAAATAGCCACAGAAAGCTGTAGTGTTCCGAGTAGGTTGCCAGACTGAGCCTCGTTTGTAATTTTTTCCCTTACCTTCAGTCCCTGGTCAATATCTTTAGATCCAGTGGATTTGACTAACAATAATGACATCAAAATTATCGCAGTGACTTCTGAAGGCAGTGTTGACTCTGAGCAAACATGCCTCCTGCAAGGCTGGCTGGCTGTGCTTTGCTTGGCATTGACTTTCCGTTGGTGGCTCTGGAGTGCACTGAGCCGAGGCAACCTGTAGGGTGGTGTAGGTGGTCTGCTTCTGATAAGCCGGACTTCCTGTGGGATTTCCGCTCCCAGTGCTTCCCTGTTACCTGACCAGCTTTTTCTTTCCTCCAGTCGGTGCAGGGGCTGCAAGCTTCCTCCCAGTCCGTGCAATACCCAGCGGTCTCTTTTCCTCCCCAGCATCTCCTGCCTGTGTCTGCAACGCAGCAGTTCCCCATGGTACCGTATTTCATGTGTGCGACCTTTCCCCTGGGAGAGCATGTCCACCAGTTTTATTACCTTCCCGTGCAGAGCTGTGTGATGCTGGATGGGTGCCCTGGGCTGACTGTAAAGGGGCGTTGAGTGAGGGTCTCATTCCAGAACACTGCAACCCCTCTCCAAAATAATGGTTTCCATCCTGTCATCTGTCCCATGTTTGCTGCTTTTGCAATCGGGTACCATTTTAAGAATTTACTGACTGAACAGGGATTGAATGCCCTGGGAGTTAGAAGTCAGAAACAGAGAGACACATGAACTTGGTGTGATGGCTTGGGAAACAGCTGGAAGTCAGTTGAGGTGGTTGTCACTCTGTGCTACTGAGGTGGGGGGTTCCCCAAGCTCCCCAAGCCCCCACTCTCCCTTCCTCTTCCCTTAATGTACTAGGCCCTGTTGGACAACGAGAAGGAACATTGTCCCTAAATTTCAGGCCAGGCCAGTGAAAAATACTCTCCAATATGTGATGACACCATGATGGTTCCCTCACTGCCACAGCCATGGGTGATGGTGATACAACCCTTCTGCCTCTCTCCAGAAGGCAGAGACTTCTGGGAAGTCCCACTGACCTTTCAGGACCAAGGGCACCAAGCCTTCCTTGCCTCAGCACCCTCCCGAGGAGCTCGAACCCTTAGTGAAAAATATAATTATTTGTTTCTATTGAAAGAGGGAGATTTGGTCAAATTGTTTACCAGCTCCCATCCTCCTGAGGATTAAAATCTGTTTCCCTTGTTATGTTCTCTTATTGTTCTGGACAGAGAATTCCTTTCTGTTATTGTTTACAATCTGTGCCCTCCTTTGCCCACAGTGATGAGCATGTGGCCTGTGCCTGCCCCTGTGTGTCTCTCCCATGACTAGGCTGCTCTTGCCAATTTCCTCTTTGTTTCTGTGCAGAGAGACGACGTGACGACACAGTTCACCCAGATGAATCTGAGCCGGCAGTCCTCAGGAGAGACTCCGGAGCCCCCACCTGGTCCCGTCTACCCGCCGTCCCTCATGGCACAGCCAACCCAACAGCCGAGCTATGTCATTGCCTCTACAGGCCAGCAGCTCCCTACAGGGGGGTTCTCAGGCTCTGGACCTCCCATCTCCCAGCAAGTCCTCCAGCCCCCTCCCTCTCCACAGGGATTTGTCCAACAGCCTCCACCTGCTCAGGTGAGTGTGCTTTGTCCTCACACCTGTGACCTATAGCTTATTCGTTGGGCATCCTGACATCAACATTTGCACCGAGTTATCACCAGGTCAACCTGGGTGGCTCTTTCTGGTCCATACTGATATCCCCCACCTACAGAACCTGATCTGTCCTACTCAGCCATTGTGAAAAGCCATGGGGGCTCAGAAAGGATGTGTAATGAAGCAGACCCAGCTTCCCATGATACAGTGGGGGAGGTCCCATTTTCCAGGCTCCTGGTATGGGAGCCACACAGGAGAGCACTCCCTCCCTCACTGGAAGCCCTAGAAAGGGAAAGTAGGAAGGAAGAAGAGAGCTGGCCCCTGAGGGACTTTCAGCTCTCCTCTGCTGCTGCTCTGGAAGTGTATTCTTTCCTTAAGCATTTTCTGGAGCTAATCTGGTGCCCCAGGCAGGAGCTCCTCTATGAATATAAAGGAGGAAGCTAAAGCGGACGTCCACTGTCCTTTCCTCTCCCCAGGGGGAAGCAGAGCTCCTGCATGCTCTCACAGGTAGTCATTAATCATATTTAATTGACTTGAGCATGTAAGACACCACAGATCACTGATTTTTACTGTCTTCTCAAAGACTGATTATCTGTTACTGTTCACCACCAAACATCTCTGGTGCTCTCCTGGGTATCCCTTGCAGAATATTGCAAGTGATTACTGTCAAGATGTAAAATGCACAGAGGCGTTTTCTGGTCCATTTTCAAGGCACACATATCCCAAGCAAATTCCATCCTAATTAAGAAATATTGCATTGGATGAGCTGTTTAAAGTACGGTGTCACCTCTGTATTATTTGTTTCACTGCCTTAACATCTTGAATAAATTATTTTCTTTTCAAGCCATGCAAAACCCTTCACCATGAAATGATTTTCATTCAGTTGTTCATTTTGCTTTGAATGATTAATTAATTGTTCATCTTCAGTTGTCTTCTCTGCAGTCTCACTTCACCAGTAGGATTTAAGGAGATGTGAAAAAATAATTTTAAGTTCCAGAAGAAAGGGCCTCATTAATATATTAATTATTTTGTTAATAAATTAAATACTTTAAGTTTAATTAATGGGAAAAATAGTGTAGCTCTTTTGTCCTAAACTGCATCTCAGAATTCTTACCCGTTTCTGCTATCAAGGAAAAGAGTTGGCAGAATATTTAATTGAAGAATTTTTTTTAAAGGCATTAAAAAAAAATCTTCCTTGATTAATGAATTTCAGTATTAACGCGCTGCAGGAGCAAAGACAACTCAGAACCCTTGGCGTGTCTGCAACAGAAACACTTTCATCCCTTCTTCAAAAGACTTAGAAATAGAAGGGAAGGAGAGTAGAAAAACAAAACCAAACCAAACAGATGTTCATGGTTCATGGTCAGTCTGGCCATGCATGAACTTCTTAGGTACAAGATATATCATATATATAAAAGTCATTGTGAGTTTCAATTTAATAAACATTTTAAAACTTGATTACTCAACTATGGGACAAGGAAAAGAACTCGAGGTACAGTCCATGGGCATATGGAAATGCATGAAATGTACGCAGAATGTCAACCTATTTAATAACTGTGAAGCCAATTTTGTCTGCCATGTCATGTATGCCTTCTGAACACCCCCTAGAAGGTGAAGTAAGAAACACGGATGAGGCAAAGACGGACTTGTAGAAGGTGGTGGGAGAAGAGATTTTTTAATATGGCTTCTTCTTTTTCTCATTTATTTCTTGCCTCTCCTAACCTACTCACTCATATTTTGGTTCTCTGTGTTTTAAAATATACATACTTGGAAGTATACATTTTCTCCTTTTGGGAGTTATGCTTACTCTTTTCTCCCTTCCAACCTTGCATTTGGATCCTTTGAAGACTCCTCCTAGCCCCACTCAGCACCTTCCTCTCTGGGGGAGGATGATGATGAGCCCAGTGCCCATGTCCCATTTGCTTCATGATTGGAAGCTGGAATTGCTAAGAGATGGCCAGTGCTCTGCCTGCGAGAGGTACTGGATGAAGGTTATCAAACCTCTAGCACAGCCTGGCAGGGTGTCAAAGAAGTTAGGGTGGGGGAAAAAAACAAGAACAAAACAGGACCACTGAGTGCTAAAAATTGAGACTCTCCTTTAAGAGGTTATGCTTTCATCCAAACCATTAGTGTTCATCAGGAAATTTTGAAGTGTTTGAACTCTGTCCCTCATCCCTGAAGGTATTTTGTGTTTCATATTGAATGTGAGAGAAGAGACCAAGGACTGGGTAACATATTTCTGAGCTTTCACTGAATCAAGTCACAGATTTTCCAAAAGGAACAAACTGTTATTCTTCCTAAAGAACATAGAAATAAATAAAAGGCTCATGAATAAATTCCATAATAGTTGTTCTTAATTTTAGGAAGCATCTAATGTATAATGGTAGTAATCTTTAATAGCTTCATGATTTGCCAGAGTATAACTAAAACCCATTATTACACTAGGATTCTTTGGGTTTTTGTTGTTATAAACTCCCTTACAAAGAAAGGGAGAAACAGGAAGAAAAAAATAACCATAAACAAAATGTGCAATCAGTTAGTTGCCAAATACTGACCTGTGTTCTCTCAAGACTCATTCAGTACCTTATCCTTGGATATCTATATTGCCAGTCAGAAGTAGAATTCATAATAATTCAGGGAATTGCAAAACCGTAGCTCAACACACTCTAAGTTATCTTTTGTTCCTATGTTATGCTAACATAGAAAAGCATGATAGAAGTGTTTCAGTAGCAAGATTGAGATAAAAAAAGTGTTTCTTATTTGATATAATCAAATCAGAAAGTGAAATACTCATGAAAATCACTGTTCTCAAATACAGGTGGCTTGTAATTTTATTCTGTGTATTTGAGAATAGCACTTGTAGGCTGGTCCTAGTGTACCTCCATTTACACTTTCAAGAAGATGATAGAAGAATGGTCAGAAGGCTGGAGATGAAAAATTATTCAAGATCAGTAAGAGAGCAGCCTTAATATAAATGAACTGAGGTAGGCAAGGAAGACTTTTCAAATCAAAAGACATTTGATTGGAATCTTGTTGGAAGTAATTAGAGTATTTTCAATCATTCCTAGTCATTAGAAAGTGACAGTAGGTGGCATAAACATTATTTTAAACATATTTCCTTCTGTCAGATGGAACATAAATTCTTTTGGATACTGGCACTGTGCTAATCACTCTGCCAAGTGCTTTGATAGACTTGATGATATTTTGAAATTCCAACCCCTGCTTCTTATAGGTTAGCGATTAGCAGCTTTCACATCTCACTTGTGTTTCCATTAGAAGAACAATTCAACTTATATGTAATATTTTAAACTACCATAAACTTTTTGTTGTTGTAGATGACTATTACATGTCCCCCCCCCTTTTTAAAAAGATTTTATTTATTTGTTTCTTTGAGAGAGAGTGAGCGAGGGAGTGAGAGCACAAGGGGGTGAGGTGGAGAGGCAGAAGGAGAAGCTGGTTCCCTGATGAGCAGGGAGCTGGATGTGGGACTCTTGATCCCAGGATGCTTGATCATGACTTGAGCTGAAGTCAGATGCTTAACCACCTGAGCCTCCCAGGCACCCCTGTTTCATTCACTCTTGTTTCATTTTGAAGACACAAAATCCGGTGTTTTAAGACAACAATCGTTGTGTTGCTCAGGGCTAGGTCAGCAACTAACACAGGACTCAGCTGGGGTGGTTCAGCTCTGCCTCAGACGGTCATGGCTCAGACAGCTTGACTGGAGCTGGAACATCCAAGATGGCCTCACTCCCATGCCTAGAATGTCAGCATAGCCTGCCCCCCAGGGTGCCTGTCTTCTCCACATGGCCTCTTTCTCCAGCCGGACAGCAGCTGGCTGTTCCTCCTGTGTGAGCGGAAGTGCAAGTCTTAGGGATCTGGCTTGGCCATGGCATTGGTCAAAGCGAGTCATAGAGCCAGCCCAGATTCAAGGGCTTGGGGAATAGATTTCACATCTTCATGAGAAAGGTAGCATGAACACACACATAGGCCCAGTTGAAGCATTTGCTGGCCAACTTTACAGTCTACTACGATCACAGTACGTCATGAGATGACCATACATATTTTGGATTTTAAAAAAAGGTTGCTTCGTATACATTTCTCACTCCCTGTGGCTTTTCTCTTTCTTCTGCAGATGTCCGTGTATTACTATCCATCTGGTCAGTACCCTACCTCAACCGCACAGCAGTACCGGCCCCTGGCCTCCATTCAGTACAGTACTCAGAGGGCTCAACAGATGTCCCAGGCAGCACAGCAAGCAGGTACTTGTGGTCTGTTTCCCATGTCCTCCTCTAACCCAGGGACTTCTGCATGTAAATCCCTCCGCTGTCCTCTTTGGATGAATATCCAAGCTTGGCTATTTAAATCGCCACATTTCCCTTACCCACACAAGATAACGGAGCGTTGGATTAACTCTGTGTGGAAAAGTAACAGGTGCAAGAAGATGAAGCCCACGTCACTCCAGCACCCCAGACACGCATGCTCAATACAGACTCCATGAATTATTTTTGGATCTTCTTAATTTCTTTTAAAGCAGAGGGCCAACCACATCCTTATCTTCCTAGTTCATACCTTTCCCTCCCCCCCCCACCCCGTTTCAACCTGAAGAAAATCCTCCCCCTGTTCCCAAGGCTAAGGGACCAAATTAGGTTGTTTCCATACCATCCTAAAAAGTACTGTCTTTAGAAGAAGGTCCCGGACACTGCAGCCCATGTCCCGGTGCAACTCTGACTCCATGGCTCGCTTTCTCAAGGGCCACACGCCTCCCGCCCAGAGCTTGGCAGCCACTGTGCAGTGGGAAGGGGGGCCGATACACTGTACGAGAGTGAGTAGCAGGTCTCACAGTGAACCGGTCTCTTTCCCTACTGTGTCACACTCCTAATGGCATGCCAGTGCCCAGAGAGCAGCAGGAACCCAGCAGGGCTGAGTGACTTGTGCTAGGGAGAGGCTTGTGTCCTTCCTGCTGACCACTCTGCAGGGGAAACGGCTCAGTGCCATGCTGAAGACTGCCCGCCTGGGGGACCCCACCTTCCGTAAGTAGGTTGTGTGTGACAGCGGTGCTCCCACTGCCTCCTGATTGGCTCTTCCGCGATCTGAGTTCTACGCTGATTCTATGTATATGCATATGTGATATGTACGTGATATGTGGTATAGACGGGAGATGTGCAATTTTTATTAGTGGACAAAAAGCACAGTCCTGGCCAAGGGTTTACATGAAGAACGGACACCCTGAGACTAGGGTGTCAGATTGGAGAAATGATTCAATTCCTCTGTACTGCAGATGGGTATGTGGCCTTTGGTTCATCTCATGGCCTATTTAAAGTCTGTGGCAGAAAAATTAGAGAAATATATAACTGCCAGCCAAACCTTCTTTTGTTTCAACACTGTAATAGTTTTGGGGAAAAATACACATTGACCTCTGAACTGATTTTACATTTTTATAGTAATAAAAACATGAAAAGTTGATTTTTTATTTTCTTAAAGATTTCATTTCTTTATTGGAGAGAGGGAGAGAAAGAGGAAAAAAAAAGGGGAAGAGGGAAAAGCAGACTCCCTGTTGAGCAGACAGCTTGATGCAGAACTTGATCCCAGGACCCTGAGACCATGACCTGAGCCAAAGGCAGGCACTTACCTGACTGAGCCCCCAGCGGTCCCAACACAGAAGGGTTTAAAGTGATCAGTTATTTTAACTAAAGGGTTTGATAATATTTTCTCTGATTGTTGGAAACTGTTATTATCTCTATCATGTGGTGGTAGCTATGCTGTCAGTTTAGATATATACTAAAGGACGGCTTGCATTCCTCCTGCTAATGTTTGTCAGAGAGTTGATTTATGATTTCCTAGCTACTGGTCCAGAGGCTACTGTGAAGTTTCCCTTTTGGTTACCAATGCCTGTAGAGGAAAGATGCAGCTATCGAATGATACTGATTGACCAAATTTTAGTTTACTGCCATTATTTGACAGTTTCCTAAAGAGTTATTTCAGACCTGTGTTGGAGTATATAGTTCCTAGGCAAGGCATGTGGTTACAAACATTCTGGAACCTACTAAAACCTGAAAACTCCTGATCTGTGTGAGGGCTGAGACAGTTGGATATATACGTTCACTGGGCAACAGATGGAGACTTAAGACAAGCCCCAGTCTCCCCCTAACCCCTCTCCACTGTCTTCATTGATGCACTTCAATATTAGCAAGAATGCTGTGATATTTTTCATCTTTTTAAAAACATTTTGGGAGAATTTAGGGATGCAGAACCTCTCCCCATCTCACAGAGACCTAACTGGCCCCAACTACATCCCATGGCAGCCTGCAGACATTAACTTGTCTCATGCTCCCACATCACCATGGATATGCCACCCCCAAGGCAAGGTAATGACACCATCATTAGAAGGGTGCATTTTAAAGTAGTATTATATCCAAAATAGAAGTGCTTCAGGTATCAAAGAGATGAGTGGAGTTGAGGTGGTCTGTGGGGACTGGGGAGAAGAGAAAAAGGAAATGATGTGTGAATGATATCCCCCTGGAAGTGACAACATAGACATATACATGAGACCTTTGAGCTTTTGAGACCACCACACCCAATATGAGCTGAAAAATCTCAATGCAGTTTCCACCATGATGTTGAATTTACTGAAGGTTTGGGAAGACAGTGTCCCCCGACCTCACTAAGAATCACCTCTGCTAACAAAATCCAGGCCATCCAGCTCATGCCAAGGCTCCATGACAGTATGTAACTACAGCTAGGAGGGCATTTACTGAGTTTAGTGACACTAAGAGAGACTTCCCAAAGGGACACAGTGGTTCTTTGGGGGAGCTGCAGTTCCTGGAGGAGCTGGAAGATAGGCCCTCTCTATCTGTAAAGCAACCTCAGGACCAGAGGTGGGCGGCCCTATCCCACAGTGACATCCTGACTCTCTGGGACCAGACCTTCTCCCACCTTCTCCTGGCCTGCATCGCTGCATCCTGGCCTGCATTAGTGTGGAGCAAATTTGCCTCAGTTATAACCAAATGAGAGTTTAATCCTAGTTTGCTTCTTGGCATTGTTCTTAATCTTTATTTAATGTTCATGAAAATATTTCTTCTTTGTCCCACATTCTTGACCAAATTGAAACCTCTGTAAGTCACGACATCTTTCCTAGGCCTGAAAACTACACACACTGGGTTTTTATAAAGGAAATTGGATAGTCTGCAATTGGCTAAATAGGCCACTTGAATTACCCTGAGGCCCAATAGGGGGGTGTAAATTCTTCCTCCTGGTGATTTTTTGTATTCGACACTGCCAACAGGTGATAGAGGTGCTAAGCCTCTAGAAGGAAGCGTCACTGGTGGGGATTATAAACAAGGGTCGTTAATGTTCAGGAACATTGGAGGACTTAAGTGGTAGATTTGAACATGGTATTGGGATTTTGAAGCTGCATATCCAAGGGAAGTAAAAGCCGTCAATACAGAAGTGTCTCTAATGGGGAAAAAAATGTTGTCAATTTAACATCATCAGGTAACCCCAGTAGTGAAGGAAGATAATTTTCTTTATGAGAGAGTTGTTTAGGACCTGAAGCTGTACAGAAAGGTAGTTACCAGGTTCAAGCTAAAAAGACTGTGGTGTTGAAATCCTTCCAGCCCTGGAAGAATTGCAAGTGAGGTTGTCTCACCTCACTTGCAATGGGAATGGGTTTTTCCCCAGGGGTCAAATACTGAAATGGAGTGCCATGAGCAAGCCTTTCCTTTCATCATCTTTTCAGTTTACTTAGCAGTCAGTTACCATATTGTGTTTAGTTAATACCTATGTTGCTATGGTTTTTTATTCTGGTTTAAAGAACTTTTTTTCTGTTTGTTTGTTTTTAAAGATTTTATTTATTTATTTGAGAGAGTGAGCATGAGCAGGACAGAAGGAGAGGGAGAAGCAGACTCCCCGCTGAGCAGGGAGTCCAACATGGGGCTCCATCCAGGGCCTTGACAGCATGACCTGAACCACAGACAGACGCTTAACAGACTGAGCCACCCGGGCGCCTCGAAAGACATTTTTAAGGCCACAAACTTGTTAGTAGTAATTATAGCCACCATCAGTTAGGTCTCTAAGGGGTTGGTTGCTATGTTAAGTGTTTTCAAACATTGCATTGTTTCATCCCCACCACAAATTTATATGGGAAATAGTAGCTGTGAGTACTCCTGTTCAGAAATAAGTCCCTCAGTGTGCCAGGGCTGATCAGACTGGGAGGAGCACCCAGACTTGCCTGGTTTTAAACCTGCACATTTAATCAGTTTCTCATAATCACATAAACCTAGTTACTAATGTGGCCTTTCTTTACTGTCATGGTTGATCTAGAGAAACGAGCACGTGGAAACTAAGCCCGCAGGCCCATGTCACAGAGGCTGATAGCATCTAATTAATTATCTAAGTATGCACGTTGACTAATAGCAGAACAAATGGGGGACTCTGGACTCGGGCTCCTGACCCCCCACAGACTTTCATATTCCTTTGCAGAGCTTGTCACGAACAGCAAATGACAAGAGTTCAGCTGAGACATTTACGTGCGGATCACATATTGAAAAGAGAGAAAGAAAGAAAAAAAAAATAAAAGAATTTGTCTTGAATCTTATATCCAACTCCAAATTCCCTTTTCAGTTTAACTAAAAAAGAAATATATGTAGCTTTATTCTCCGTTCTCCACAATCTTGCACATGTTCTAAAAGCCACAAAAATGGGCTTGTAAAGTCCTTTATGTTTTCATAAGTGGGCATGTGGGGATGAATAAATCCTGGTTTGGGTATCAGAATACTGATGGCCTCATAAAATCAGTTGGAGAGTGTTCCCTCCTTTTCTGTTTTTTGGAAGGAATTCTGTAAAAATGGTGCTGAATTAAATGTTTGATAGAAACCTCCAGTGACCGTGTCTGGCCTAGGGATTTTTCAGAAGCATTATTTTTTACTTTTTACATGAATATAATTCCTAGAGCCCTTAATTATGACATTTTTATAGTTAAAAAAGTATTCAGATGATGGGTCCCATCTTTGCTGAGTTTTGGTCCTTTGTGGTCATTGAGGAATTGGCTCATTTCTTCTAAGTTGCTGGACTTGCGAATAAAAAGTTATCAGTGGTATTTCTTTATTATCCTTTGGCTGCAGGATATGTTGGGATATCCTGTTTTTTCTTTACTATTGGTGATTTTTAAGTTCTCCTTTCTCAGTTTTGTAAGTCTTGCTAGGTTTATCCGTTTTATTGATCTTTTCAAGGAACTACCACTTTGTCTCATTTATTTTCTCTA